CTGGCCTATACAAAGCATCTAACACAGTATCAAGCACAAACACATTTCCTTAAAATTTGAATAAATGACTGAACCATCTTTTTTTAAAGGCTCATTATTTTTAGGGTTCCCAGGTAAAGTGATTTAAGTAAGTAATAAGCACTCTTAATAATATGACTAAAAATGGGGAAAAAACAGTGACATCTTTATCTCCTTCAAATATGCTCAATAAGTTAGAAATGCAAGAATAAAGCAAATAGCTGGGATGAATGGCTGCTCAGGCAAAAAAAAAAAGAAAATAGTGAAGCAAAAAAGAAATTTAAAAGCACGCAGTTCCCTAAGGTCTTAAATTTCAGAAATGTGAGAGAGAAAGTAGATTACTTATTTAGAAGTGGGTAGATAGTACTGCTCCTAGAAATGTTCAAGAATTTCTTTAAGAAATCAATAAGCAGCAGTCATTTCCAGTGTGCTACATCCACACTGCTGAGGAACTTCTAAAAGTACTCACAAGAATTTCAGTAGTTAATCACTATTCTCCAAAAGAACAACATCTAATAGTCTTACCATATTCCCCATCATCTCTGCCTTGATAATCTTGGCTCCCAACTTGTTCTTCTCATCGACACTCAGGATGTGAATGGGCTCATCTTCTGGACTACTGGTGGACCAGGATAGACTAAGATAGATTAAGATCATATGAAATATAGGTACAATGCAAGCACCAATATTAAGATCCAAACATTATTTTAACTGACCTCAACAAAGCATTCAGCACCAATAGGAGATCATGATTCTAACACATAAAAATTAAACTCACTGTTATACTAACATAGCAACAGTTTAAGGTGGTGCTCTGTTACAATGTCATAATCACCTATGGCAATTATAGTAACTGATCAAAATCTCAGTAACAGTGAGATAAATAATATTTATCAACTATTCTTCATTATTTAATATTGCCATACTCATAATTCTAAAAAGGAAACAAATAATTCTATACATCTTGGGAAACTCTTCTCATTCAATGTGACAAGTTATTGATAATCTAAGAAACTATAATCAAGAAATGATATATTTAACTGCATTCAAAGAATAAAAACAATGATGATGTGCTCGTTTGCAAAGTCAGTCCAGAACATACCATATAGTCAAATAGCATGAACTAGTTTAAAATTGAGATCATGTGCCAAACCTATACTATGGAAGTCTCACACAAAAAGAGAGAAAACTCCAGCCAAGGTCAGATTCCCCCACTTCACTGCCTTAAGAAAGAATTCAAAGATACAGTGCAGAAAGAGTGAACCCGGGCAGAGCCTGAAGGATTCCTGAGCGAAGGCGACGTACTTTAGAGTTTACTGAACAAATATCAGAGAGGAAAGCTGATAGTGAGAAAATCTCAGAGAACTGCAGAGGGTTCTCCTTGAGTATTCAATAAGAAACTGCCCCATAGTCAGGGAAAGAACTACCCCAAAGGATTAGAGGTACGGTATTCAGCACTCCTGGGAACGGTGTCAAGTCCCACTAGCCAGACTAGGAAAGCTCATAATTCAGAAAGCATTGGGTAGAGTATCAAAGGTCTTGTTTCATTAGTGAGAAATAATAAGCCCTAGACTAAATGCTGCTCTGGTCCACCTAACATATGTTAAAATAGAAGTCAAAAGGATCAAATGGTTGCCAATTAACTTAACCCATGTTAAGAATGTCCCAGAAAAAAGCTCAAGAATATTTATAAAAATTCAAAAATATGTAGCACTTAACAAGGTAAAATTTGTAATACTTAGTATCCACTCAACAATAATCAGACAGGCAAATAAGCAGAAAAATATAATCCATAATTAGAAGAAAACACTATCAGT